ACCGTAAACCCTAAACCGTAACTACCCAGTTCCCCCTCCCAGTCCCCGCCTCCCAGACACCCATAAAAAAAAAAAAAAAAAAAAAAAAAAAAAAAAAAAAAAAAAAAAAAAAGAGAGAGAGAGAGGATGGCCGCCGGAAAATCACCACCATCCGACCGCCACAGACACCAAAATCCCACAGAACGCACACCCAAAACCCCCCGAAACGGAAAAAAATAGTAGCAAAAAAACCCCACACACCCTAGATAGAAAAAACGAATCGACATAAATAAGGGGGATTGAGATTACCTTCAATGGAACCACCGTTAGACCTCCGTTGCCTCTTCGATCGGCGGACAGTAGACCCAACCATGTTGAACGTGAGAGTTGTGATGGAGAGGGAGAAAGTGATGGATGTCGAAAATACTCACGGAGAGGGAGAAAGTGAGAGGGAGTTGGACTATGGCTGGAAGAGAAATACGCAGAAGATGAAGTGTTGAAAGAAGGGTCAGAAGAGATGCAGATTTCCTAGGCGAAATTAAATACACGGTATAATTAAAGCCATTGCAAAAATTACAAAACAAGCCCTAATGTCCTCTTAAATCTGATGCACGTGGCAAAAAAGCCCAAATCATCTTGACCATTCATCTAAACTAATTAAGGGTCAGAAAAGGTGCTCACGAGCTCATATGCCAAGGGGGTGTGCACCGGATCCAAAATCTATATATATATATATATATATATATATATATATATATATATATATATATATATATATATATATATATATATATATATAGAGAGAGAGAGAGAGAGAGAGAGAAATTTTCTATCGAAAAATACTATGTGTATTCTCATTTTTTACTCTTAACTTTTACTTACACATACAAAATTTTGATATAGACACATGTATTGAAATTTACAAGGAAAAAGAGTCTGCCACATCAGATGATAAAATTAAAGGAGTAAGATTTGTGACTCAATATAAAATGTAATAGAACTCTTTTCTATGTAACCAGACACCCAATTAGCTAGCCATGTGCTCATATCTCTAAAAATATTCTTGATTGACATTTTGTCTGTAAATTATGTTGTTTAAGCAGTGATTTTGGTGTTACCTATGTTAGATCTAGCTGACTAGCTACATCTAGATTTTTTTATTTTTTATTTTTTTGAAAAGAGCTACATCTAGAATTTAGATAAAAGTCAAATTTTAGAAACAAATACCCCGTAAAAAATTATGCATCTTCAGTAGTTAATAAATTACCAAGACCATAAAAAAGAAAAAGATAATAATAAGAAGGAAAAATTATAATTTATGTCATTTCATAATATGTAAATTATCAATGTCACTTCTGAATTATTAATGGTATAAATATTATTCATTAATTTTCAAAACGGTACATATATTGCATCTCCCGTAGTATAAATGTTGTACATAATAACTCGTTAATATATTATATACATGCAATTAATAAATTATGTACCTATTATAACTCGTTAACTTATTATATGCATGCAGTTAATAAATTATGTACCTATTATATACATAAATCTGAACTGGCCGGGCTCTGAAATGAATTGAATGTCTATAGAGGATATACAAAGTTTGGGTGTCCAACATGTCGGGTGTTTGACATGCACTGAGGAGGTCGACGACTTTACAAATTGATATACGTGAGCCTTAATTCCTGACACACCCATTCTCTAGAATAGGAAGCTAGTGTTCCTTGTCGGGTTACCTTATCTGAACCTCGTCGAGAAGTGTATTTTCCACAAATGAATGAGCAAATAATTAATATGTGTCACCATCTAATGAACACATATAAAGAGTTGATTTACAGATTTTTTTTATAACCAAAACCAACATAATGTTAAAAAGTTGACCTTGCCAACAACAACATTTTTTTTTTTTTTTTTGGAAAGGAACAACAACATTTAATATTGTTCAACAAGAAGCATTTTGTCATTATCTAACCTTAATCTTTGAAATTTAATACCATATATATATATATATATATATATATATATATATATATATATATATATATATATATATATATATAATTTGAATTGGAATATGACTAAAAAGTCTTGCGAGGCCAATTGCTACAACATTTTATATTTTCCCAACCATTTTGCCATTATCTATTCCTAATCTTTGAATTTAAATACTACACATATGGAATTAATACCTTCAATGGTCCTCCGGGTATTAGTGATTTACCAGTTGTGGTCATCCAAATTTTAAATGACCTCCAATAGTCTTCCGTGTTTTAAAAAATAACCATATGTGGTCCTTTTAGACGTCTCATGGTCATTTTAAAATCGAATTTTTTTTAAGAATTAGGACCACGAGTGGTTATTTTTTAAAAAATGGAGGACTATTGGAGTTCATTTAAAACTCGGATGACCACAACAGGTAAATCGCTAATACTCAGAGGAGCATTGGAGGTATTAACTCCATATATATATTTAATATTGGAGAAAGTTACATTTTAGTTCATGAATTGTTGCATATATAATGGACAATTCAGCCCTTTTATTATAATCATATAGCGGGCCTTATTTAGTCTTTGAATTGTTCATTTTGTAGCCTTTTTAGTTCCCAAATCAAATACGGAGTATTTGTTAAAATCTAAATGTTAATTTATAATAATTGATACATTAAAGGGGAAATAATGTAAAATATAGCTATTGTTTTTCTCCCATGATAGCCTCAAGAATAATATATAGCATTATTTAGTTTTTGAATTGTGTTCCAAGGTACGCTCTAGATGAAATTGTCTCACGACTTTTAGTTGACTTGTTCAAATTAAGAATGTCAATAGAAAATTTATACAAAGTTGAACTTAGAAATCTTGTGATTACCAAGTCATTTGTCTGATCAATTTGATGGGTTGTCATTATTGAGGTCAACCATTTGCCAACAAGAATAACATTATATTATCTTCCCAACAACCAACCATTTGTCACTATATAGCTATAATTATTAACTTAAAAAACTAAAATTAGTAACAATATGATAACGTGAATTAGTAGTGCAAGTTGCAGAGGTCACCAGAATCTCCAACAAAAAAAACTTATATTACAATTTAAAATGATGTCGTATTGGGATGTACCTTAAAATATGGTGTCGTCATTATCGACCCTTAATCTTTGAATTTTAATACGGAGTAAGTCAATTAATGATTATTTTATATTTTCAATCAATTAGTAATATCATATTCATTTTCAGTCAATTATTATTTTTTATTTTCTTTCAATTATTATTTTTTATTTTCTTTCAATTAGTCAATTAGAATATCAGATATAGTGATATTTTTACCTAATTTCCGTTCTATTTTTAATTGATGATATATAGTGTTGTGTACCAAGACTATGTGGTCTAATGGTACCCGGGTTGGACTTCTATTTGGAAGGTTGTGAGTCCGAGTTTCAATGGAGTAGGTTGAGAAAGTATATGAACAGATATTACATTGAAATAGACCAGTAGCATTCAAAAAATATATATATAGTGTTGTCAATATGGGAGGGGCTTAGAGCAAGTTTGACCAACTTTTTCCCCCTTCTCGTTGTGCACACTTAAAGTCATCAAATTTTTCCGTGGACCATGAATACAAGGTACATTTTTAATATATTAAAAGTACACTATTTGTGTGCTGAATATACATTATTTGACAATATACAAAATAATGTACTTTTTATAAATACAATGTACATTTTTAATATACTACAAATATATTATTTGTATATTGAATGTACATTATTTGATAATATACAAAATAATATATTTTTAGTACTCAAATAATGTATTATATATATATATATATATATATATATATATATATATATATATATATATAAATAATTTACTTTTTTATTTGTAATCCACGTAATTGTGTGACCATGGTCCATAGGATAATGATCCTTTGAAGTCTCAAATCTTCAATATTCTAATTGCATATTAATGTATTATAACATCGTTTGAATAAAATGCATAAACAAATTTTAAACAAACATTACTGCGGCCATTTGGGATTACGGATTTCAAATTTTCAAATTTGGAGATTTGGCCATTTGCAATTTGGGATTGTGATTTGTGTACTGATTTTCCCTCTTAAAAAAAAAATAGGGGCTGTTGAGCAAATGAGTCTCAGAGGCCTGCTCTTTAACGAGCAGTTAAAATCGAAATCTACCTCTACCTATATAAGGGCGGAACAGGCTAGTCCACTAGATAGTTAATTTTGATTACTCTATAAATATATTTAATACTAGAGAAAATAATTTTTTCTTAAATGATGGTTTAATGGATAATTTAATTTTTTTTTTTTAGGTACATTATCTGAAGTCCTCATGGGAGAGCCTTATCTAATTCTTAAAGAAGGCGTGCTATTAGCGTCAGCATGGATCAAGCCGTGCATCTCGGATGGTTCCTTGATTATAATATTGTGAAATTAAATGGCACCATTTGCCCATAACTTACAACCTTACCACTTAGCTAGCGATCATGTGCTCATGTCTCTAAAAATATTATTAATTATTCACAACTTCTTATTTATTTATTTATTTGTACATTTTTTTTGGAGTGTTCTCATACTAATATACTATACCTCGTGAATAAAAATGAGTTGTATGCACAAACCTACAACTCCTATTAATTAACAGTTTGTCTGCCAATTATGTTGTTTAAGCTCTGATTTTGTTGTTACCCGGGGCCGGTCTTGACCATGTGTGAAAAAATAACAATAAATGAAGATGTTGTTGCGTGGTCCAAATTGTATGATTTTCACCCACTCATTTGGTAAAAAGAAATTACCAAGACAAAAAAAAAATCTGAAATGACATCGTTTTGCATCAGGGCGCACAATGCAATGCGCGGCCTGATGCAAGATATAAATTGTCGCGTTATACTTGTGTAAAGAGTACACTTAATCTTTTGTTATTTTGAAATAGTGTCACGGGTTAAAGAAGTCACTTGCACTAGTAGTGTCACGGGTTAAAGAAGTCACGGGTTAAGTATTTTGTGACTATATTCCGATAATTTGAATTAGTAGTGCAAGTTGCAGAGGCCACCAAAATCTCTGCAGCATAACCCAATTCCAGTTGATATCATCTTCCCTGCTAACCTTCATTCAAACAAACTCAGACAAACTAACAACTCTCTCTCTCTCTCATTTACATTACACCAATACAGCACAGAGTTACAGAGATCGAGATTGAGAAGAATGGCTTGTGTGGTTGTACTTTCTCTTATGAGGACACTTGAGCTTGAGTTCTTGCAACCTCTCCCTCGGCCAATTCTACAACAAAACCAACTCATCCCTTGCAACAAACACTTGGTCCTATCTCTACACAAGAAGCTTGGATCTCTGATGGAACTATTCGATGAGAATAGAATGGATGGTGTTGAAGCAATCAACGACTTGGAAACAAAGCTCAGAGATGTAGCTTCTAGGATTGAGGATGAAATTGAACTCCAAGTACTACATCTTTATGAGGAAGAAGAAGAAGAGGAACTCAGAATTTTTAAAGGAATTTTTGATATTTTTGACAAAAATGTGTATCATGCATTTCAGCCACCGGAAAATCACATTTACGTGGAAATGCCACAGGATGAGAAAAGCACTCATCATTGCCAAAGCCATAACCTTCATCAGACAACTACTCATCATTGCCAGAGGCTTCATCAAATTCTGCATCCACCCACCGGAAAATCACATCCTTGTCTCAAATTCCGTCGTATTTTGCACCGAGCTGTACAAGACATTGATGCCATCACTCAAGAGTATCATCTACAAGCAGGAACAAAGCAGCCTGCCTCCCTTCATGTTTTACCAATACCTACTCATCAACTTATCACCATGCCTGATTCTTCCCACACTGCTTCACACTCCAAGGAAATAATGGTTGGAAAACATGATGAGTTCGAGATTATAAAGGAGAAGCTAATCCAACATCCATCTAAGCAGCTACAAGTTGTCTCAATTAGAGGTATGGCAGGTATTGGTAAGACAACATTAGCAAAGAAAATTTATGAAGATCCATCAATCACTTCCTACTTTGATAAGCGAGCATGGACTGTCGCATCACAACATCACAGTACGAGGCAAATGCTCTTAGATCTTCTTGGTTCCAAAGACGATGCAGACAAAAGAAGTGATGGGGACCTAGCATTACTACTTAAACAAAGTTTCAATAAGTGTCAAAGGTACTTGGTTGTGATGGATGACATATGGAGCATAAAGGCATGGTATGCTGTCAAAAATTGCTTTCCCGATCATGGAAATGGTAGTCGAGTATTGTTGACTACTCGCATTGCTGAGGTGGCTAATCATATCTGCACCCGGAATGACTTTTCTCATCAAATGCAATTGTTAGAACAAAGTGAGAGTTGGAAACTATTTAATGAAAAGGAAAGGCTTGTAAATCTGGCAATGCTGAATTTGAGACGATTGGGAGACCTGTAGTTGAAAAATGCAAAGGACTGCCTTTGGCAATTATTGTGGTTGCCGGCCTTTTTTCCAAACTTAACACTCTAGATGAGTGGAAGAATGCTGCCAATGCTCTAAGTTCTTCTTCTGCAACTACTCTTGATGATGAAGAATGTTCGAGATTACTCTCATTGAGTTACAATCATTTGCCCCACAACTTGAAAGCTTGTTTCTTATTTTTGGGAGTTTTTCCAGAAGATCACGAGATCAATGCTAATCAACTCGCAAAGTTATGGCTTGCGGAAGGACTCGTAAAGGCATTTGGGGATGAAAGCTTTGATGAAGTGGCTAATAGGTCCATGCAAGAACTTTTGGATAGAAACCTGATAATTTTAAGCAAGCTATCCTCTCGTGGAAGAAAAATTAAGAGGTTTAGGATGCATGATTTATTGCATGCCTTTTGTATGAGAGAAGCTCAAAAGGAGAGCCTTTTGCATGTTGTCCAGGGTGAAAGTAGTTCTTATTTTCCTCAAAAAGGTTTCCGCTGGGTAAGCATCCAAGACGAATATTTTAACATGTCTACTATACAGCATTATACTTTGAAAAGCTATAGATCGTTCTTCTGTTTTTTTAGGCGGGAATCATTTTTAGATTTTATAAATGGAAATCTACTGAGAGTACTCTTCTTCTATGATACAATTGTCTCGCACAAAAATATTGTGAATACTGTCCATTTGAGATTCTTAAGAGTTGGAAATGGTGTAGAACTGTCCAGGGCTCAGGGATTCCTAAAGTCAAGATGGAGAGAGAGTGTAGAATATTTAAGGTCTTGGAATGTAGAATTGTCAAGGTCTTGGAATCTTCAAACACTTGACTCGTATGGAAGAGTATCATATAGATTTGATGAAGCAGAGAAGTATCCGGAGTTTCCACAACTACACTATATTCGTTGTGCAGACTGGTTTTGTGGAAATCCTCCCAATTTTGTTCAAAAACTTAATAAGATCAAAGCTGAAGATTGCTCAAAAGAATACATTACCAATATTCCATGCTTGAAGAAGGTACATATTGTACATCTAGGCGACAAGGGTAATGATTTCATTGCGAACTTAGCCTATTTAGAGCAACTCGAGAGACTTTGGATTTCAGGTACACCTGAAACACAGATTCCAATTATTAATGATATTGTTCTGTTGAAAAACCTCACGAAGTTGGAATTAAGTTATATGCGATTTGAGTGGGAGAAAATTAATATTCTTAGCAAGTTGCCTAGGCTTGAGGTACTCCAGTTACTATGGGAATCCTGCACAGGCAAAGAGTGGGAAATACAAGAGGAAGTGATATTTCACCAGTTAATCACTTTAGATATTTATCATCAGCATGATCTCAAGCATTGGAAAGCTAGTCGTCATAATTTCCCAGAACTTGAGCACCTATATATTAGGTATTGCCGTGAATTGAGAGAGATCCCAATTGACTTTGCTGAAATTCCAACATTGAAGTCAATCGAATTACGGAGATGTCTTCCTTCTGCTGTCAAATCAGTCAAGGAAATCCAGGATGAGCAACGCGACTATGGAAACAACGATCTGGTTGTTATTGAGGATGAAACATTAGATGTATGTTACCCTTTCTCTTTCTGAATTGTATTCAACTTGTGCCAAGCATATTTAATTAAATTCAGTGATTCATGACAGGTTTTGGAAGCTGAGGAAGGCCTGAGCGAAGAAGAGTACTGATAATTGATACCTTGTATTCACTTTAAGGCAGAAGACAACAATGGTATGTTTACAAGAACCCAGAATTGTAATTACATACATACATACATACAGGACTGTATTTGCAGTTTGATTCATGCATTTGTGACAGGACAGGCAACAACATATATTATTTTACATGAAGAAGAGAAGATGTTTTAATTACATAGATTATTTTGAGTGTTGGTGTGCATAGAGAGAGCCAATGTGTAATGCTAGTTTTCACTTACTAGTCCAGTACATTACAGGGACTTGTCATGCTTCTTCTACTATACACTTCATACTATATTTTCACTGCTGCTGTGGCTATACATCTCTACTTGTACAACCTACCTAATTCCACAAATTAATTTAAATTAAATTGAAATGAAATTGGTTATTGAAGTAGTACATTATATTATATTATATTATATTATATTATATTGCCAATTGAAATGACTTGAGGTAATATTTGGAAGCTTTCAATGTGTTGGCTCAAAGGCAAAGATCAGAGCTGAACAAATCTGATGGGCAGAGAGAGAGAGAGAGAGTATTGCAGCCAGGACGGGCAGGCGTTTGTAGCAACTCATTCAAGAATCACCCAATGCTTGCAAGAATTCATGGATAATGAATGTATGCTATCTATTTCTTGGAGTTTAGTTGCTGGAATCATATCAGACAATCACAAAACTCACTTCATGTCTTTTATTTTAGTACTGAGTTGGAAGCTTAAAACTTTAAAATACTCTTGAAGCTTAGATTTGCAATATATGTGTGTGTTAATGATTTGCACAATCTTATGTTATATATTTCATATAAATACTTTGTTGATGGCATGATTGGGCAAATGCTGTTACCGTGTATTTGCTTCTCTTAAATTTCCTTCCCAGTTGGAAAAGAAAACATTTACATCATATTTTGCTTTCTTTCTCATGTTTTATATGATAATAAGGAAGTCGAAGCTTGTGGCATGCATGCAGTTGTCAAAGGGTTTATTTGTGAAGATACAATTAATGGTCTAGCAAAAGCCTCTGTTTCAAATACATTACTTTGTAAACAGTACATGATTCTTTCTCAAGTTTTCTTAAAAATTCTTCCATTCCTGGGGTCTTGTCCTTCTCAGGCTCCTGCTTGCTGAGTATTAGCAGCGGGGAGTCCTCAGGGCCCCGAACTGGTAGTCTTAGCTAGCGTTTGTGTTGCTAGTATAGTCCTCAGTCCTGTTCAGTTACCCTTTTTAATGCTTCAACATTTCATAGTCTGCAAATTAAAGATAATGTCAAGTGGGTTTTGCAAAAAGCTAAGATAGGCCCTAAAGCTGTATGCATCTTGTGAGCTAACGGAGCGAGCTGTCACCACTACTGTAACTCTTCGTCAGCCATCAACTTCCAGTGGCACCGTCACATACTATACGAGGTTAATTGATCCGATCTATTTGCTATTACATTCTGCTGTCTTCCTTGTTGTATGATAATACTTAGCTTGTATGTTATTCATGTCATGGTTCAACTGTGCACTGGAAATCAAATTTTAGTGCATCTTTTCCATTACAGGTAGGGGCAGTTTGAAATATTAACTATCTCTGATCTCATCTCATCTCTGGGGCTACTACTTAATTGCTGAGTAATAGCAGCGAACCTCAAGGCCTAAGAACTGGTAGTCTTAGCATGCATTTGTGATGCTAGTCCAGATGGTGGTGTCAGAGCAGCCATGCCAGTCCTTCTGTTCAGGTACCCATGCACCCTTTTTAATGCTACCTTCAACAGTAATTAGTTCATATATATTCTGCAAATTTTGCCTAAATGAAATTCGTTATTGGCCTCGAGTACATTCATAAATGGCTACTTCAATTGCAGGCAATTAATATTGGGGAGCTTTCTAGCTATATATGTGTGGCTCCAAGGCAAATTAAAGAGCAAATTAAACCCCCAGTGAGTA